AGAGACAGAAAGACAGAAAGCGAGAAATCATCCCCCGGGGGGATGGCCATGCCACAATCCCTTCTCCATTCTCTTCTTGGGATCTTGGGCATGCACGCACACACACCCGGTGTGAGTTTAAGCCACCGGGTCTTGAACTGAGGTCAACTAAGTGGGAGTCCAGCAACATAGCCATTACGCTAACTGCTGGTCCCCCCACTGTGTTTTTCAGGTCACTAAGGCTGAGATACAAACTGTGGCCAGCCATGTAGAACCCAGCTTCCTTAACCACTGCACTGTGGAGCCAACTCAACAATGTGTGTTGAATTCTTACTGGATCAGTTGGCGCCATGGCTGCTGGGGTGGCCGGATCCTACACAGTCAACTGTTGTTTGAATTCTAGACCCAGTTTCTTTAAAAATTAGGCACGTGTGAGTGTGCGTTCAAAATCCCAAAAGGAGAAATGAAAGAGAAGAGATTGCACCATGACCATCCCCCATGAGGGGTGCTTTCTCACTTTCCCCTCTCTCTCTCCTGTCTCCTCCAGCAAGTGTGGCAATTTAAAAAAGAACAGGAAAAAGATAAGACTATTGCTAAGAGAGTATGTTTTAAGTATTCTCACTGCAAAAAATAGATCCATAAAGTACTGGATATGCTAATAACTTGGTTTAGCCATTCCACAACGGATTTCAAACATATTGAACATGACAAATATACACAATTTTTATCAATTAAAAATAAATTAAAAGAAAATATAATTTATGTACCAAAAATCACTTCTTCAGTATGTTAAATTTTTTAATTTCTAAGATGATGGGGAAATAGAAACAGTTCAAATATTTGTCTGGATTAAAAGATTACTAGGGACCAGCAGATGGCATAATGGTTATGTCAGTAGACTCCCACATGGCCAACTGGAGTTTGAGTCCCAGACCCAGTAGCTTGAAACTCACACCAGGTGCGTGTGCACACCTGCCCAAAATTCCAATAGGAGAAGGGAGAAGGGAATGCAGTGTGGTCATCCCCACCATTGGGTGATTTCTCGCTTTTGTCTGTGTCTCTCTGGCAAGTGCACACACCATATAGCAAAAATCTCTCAAAAAAAAGGTATTGAAATTGGTTCAAACAGCAAATTATTAAATCAAATTCAAGGTCGCTGTGTTTCTGAGTGTTAAATTAAATCCTAATTTTCTTTCTTATCCTAAATAATGTCCAACTATGTTATCCAACACAGCAAATCAGAAGTTCTGTGAGAAGATTAAACGTCAGGAAGAGAACTGAATAGAGACGCTCCAGTAACAAAACACCAGCAATGAAATGAAACCAGCTTGCGATCATTCCTTCTTATATTGGGCTCACCAAGCCCTCTTGTCTGGCCCCTATTTGAACTTGAGGTTCCCTGATAGATCTTGGGTTTATATTTTAAACCCTAAGATCCTGTCCATTTCTCCCTTTGTTTTATTCTGAGAGTATCGAAGGATGAACCAGAAACCAAAGGTAAAAGCAGAAGCTTCTTTAGTGTCTTTCTTCCTCTCTCAAGTTCTCCTTTCCAGAAGACAAAGAAGGAAAAGAAGAGGCTAGGGGTGGAAGAGCAAAGGCAGACAGTCTTTGTGAGATGAAGAAAGAGCCCTGTGGGTGGCAGGCCAAGTTGGGCTCTTAGGTAGATGAGGACAATGGGGAATGGTCATGGCAGAACTGCAAAGTGAGAGAGTGGGTGCAGCCACTTCATCTTGACACCGTCTGCTTTACAATGTTGTCCTCTTATTTGGGTGTAGTCTGGAACGTTGGTCTCTGTAAGGCTTTGTTGAGATGTCCCGGCAGGGTGGAGCTTTTATCCTCACCATTTGCTCATGAGGCCTCCCACCCTCCTCCTCGGTGCTCTGGCGCCCTGCCTGGACAGATGGCCTATCACATGGATGGTATTTCTCCAAATGCTTTCTCAACCCCTAACTTGTCCTTAATGGCTTTAGCTGGCAACATTCTCTATAACCATGGTAAAGAGTTTACAATGGCCAGCATATTATAGATTACCTGTTCTATATTACTTATCAACACATACTGAGCATTTATTACATGTTAGACACTGTCCTAAAAGCTTCTGTTAACTCACTTAATCCTCACACCCACCCTATGGTATATGTCCTATTCATTCCCATACACAGATGAAGAAGTGAAGAGGCAGAGAAGTTAGTATCTTGCCCAAAGGAACCAACTTGGCATATACATATATAGTATACATAAATATGAAAACCTTTTCATTCACAATGTCTCATACCCAGAAGGAGATATTCATGGGGCTCCTGCATGAGAGGTGCAAAGTATTACAGGAATAACAAGTGGCAAAGAAAAGAGGGCCTCTGACGAGTGAGGGTGGCTATAACTCAACTGTTCTCAGAGACTTCCATGCAGACTGGGTGATGCTGCTGTGGAAGCCACACATCTGTTCATCATTTGACCTCATTCTGCACAAATGCTAAGAACAGAGACTACTTGTAAAACCAAGAAACGGGAGAGAGTGCTTTTCGAAGTCAATTAAAAAGTGAAATTCCAGAACAATTTTGAGTTCAAAAACAACTTTTTTAACAGTTGTTAAACTCACTCTACCCTGACCTACTTAAATATTTAAAATTCAAAATCCATTCATGGCTATTGGTTCCAGCTACAAATGTGATTAAATTGGGGTTTTGAGGCTCTCAATGTATGTCACTGGGTATATTAGCAAGAAATAGAGAGATCTCTTGGAAATTTTTGCCATCAAAGACTCATCACAAGGGGAAAGGTGAGAGGTAATGCTATGGCAGATGTAGTTTGTCCCCACCAGAACACCCCTGCTGGGACCTGGTCCTAGTGTGGCAATGTTGGGAGGAGGAACTTTTAAAGGGTGGGGTTTAATGAGAGGAATTCAGGCCATAGGGGCTCTGCCCTTCTGGGTGGATTGGTGCTGTTGTGAAAATAAGTGAGTTTGTGTTCTCACGTGACTGGATTAGTTACTCCAAGAGCGGATCGTTATTAAACAAGGTATCCTCCTACCTTTTGTCCTTTTCACAGTGCTGGGTTCCCCCTGCAGTTCTCCACCATGGGTTGTCACAGCATGAGGCCCTGAACAGAAGTGGCCACTCAATCTTGGATTTCTTAGACTCCAGAACTGTAAGACATAAATTCTTTTTTCTTTATAAATTACCCAGCCTTGAATATTTTGTTAATACAACAGAAAACAGGTCATTTTCCCCAAGACCAGGTAAAATTTATGCTCTAGAGTTTGGGGTTCTCTTGCTCCGAGGATGTAGTTTACAGAATGCTTATTTCTTTGGTGTGTATTTGTTTATTTGTGTGCAGGGTGCCAGGAAGGCTGATTCAATTAGGCTTTTATTGGAGGAAGATCAGGGCAAACTGAAATAATCTGCTATATCATGTATGAGGATAAGAGGGTGTGCACATATGTTGTGAACGAGGGTGAACTATGTAGAAAAGAGTCAGGTGGATTTGCTGAGAGCAGAGGATGAGGTGGTTCTGGATAATGACCCTCTCAGCAGTGACCAAAACGACACAGGCCACTCCCTATTTTCCATCGTTCCTGGATCATTGTACAGCCCCAGGAAAGGGAAAAGATCCCTTTCCCACTGTGTGTGTGTCTAAAAGAGAGATGATAAATTTTTGTTAATCTTGGCTAGTGGAAGCTCAGAATCAGATGTATAATTTACCAAAATAACGAAATGTGATGTTTTTTGTACTTGAGTATTGAGCAATTCCTTCCTGTACACTCAATTTCGTGTGTGTGGGCTCATTTTCTTTCATTCCTTCACCTCGTTTTCACTGCCTTAGGGATCCTGGTTCGCTACAGCAACTGGATTCCCTTATGGGGACCGTGCAGATTCTATTTTGCTTTATTTTCTAAATCGGTGTCTCCCAGAGCCAAGTATGCCATCGCTCAGTGAGCTTCAGAAATACACCACCCTATAGACTCCCAAAATATTCAGACATTAAGCCATTTTTTTTTGGGGGGGAGAGGTTTTTGCTATAGGGCGCGTGCGCTCACCAGACAGACAGAGAGAGACAGAGAGACAGAAAGCGAGAAATCACCCCCCCCAAGG